AATCTTTAAAGCTGAAGTTAAGACTTATTTTTTTTCGCAAAGCGTTAACTAACATTTCATTAGCTTCAAATTAGGTACACACCTTAGTTCATAACAATGTTTTTTTATATTATAGTGCGACTTTTATTGTAAATTCTTTATATATTTCTTTTGTAAATCATTGCCCCCTTCTTTCAAAATTTCGGGATCCGCGGATACCTCTGAAACTGTCCTCCCCGTTTGATTCCTTACAGATCGGTGCGATCAAAGTGCAATGGTAATTTGGGCTACCTYTGTCATGCCGTATTTTCCCTGTAGCCTGTGGCTGMTTTTTTCACGTAGTGACAATGCCAGAYAGTGYAACAACTAAATCAGATTTACACCTGACTAAAGAAATATGGCGACAGGCCGATGCAGTTTGCTTTGATGTTGATAGTACAGTTATAACTGGAGAAGGTCTCGACGAGCTGGCTAGCTTTTGTGGCCGAGGAGAAGAAGTGGCCGAATGGTGAGTTCATCAGTGTGACTCCACGGATCTCAAGCTTCTTGAGAAGGTCGACATATCGTTTATAGTCACTGTGCTTTGACGCCCCTAGTATTAGAAATTCTTCGTTCTCACACAGAGAAATAAACTCGAGGAACTGACAGAAAGTTCGTTCAAAGTTTGAGATTTGACCTCAGATTTGTGTATCTATGTCTTCAGGGGAGGGGAGGGGAGGTTGACTGAAAAATTGAAAAATTTGCCAAGTCACCTTTTTCCGGAGACAGAAGGCATCTTAACAACTCAAGCATTATTTTAGYCTCCCCCAAGAAAACAGTATCTTCAAAAAAAAAAAATGCAAAATTGCTGTTCATTTATCAAGAGTTGTCAATTTATCCATATTACATGAGCGGGATTCATGCAAAATGAAAAAACAAAACAAAAAAAAAAACAACAAGTCAGATAGCCTGATATATTCATATTACAAAATCTTCCAATTTTTTCCCCATTCTTCTTGAAACCTAGTGCCCTCACTTGAATACATTGGCACCTAAAGATTTAGGTTTTTGTTTATAATCTTTCAATTTWTGATCAACCACTGATTCCTTGCTTCCACAAGCACATTTCAAAGGGATTTCATCTCAGAGTTGCAAAAAGAACAATAAATGAATGACATTTTCACATTTATGTGTCTCTYYGCCAAAATGAACATGAATGCCTGCTTAGCATTGATTCACTTGTTATTTTTGCTTTTATTGTTGTTATATAGGACAAGAAAAGCTATGGGTGGAGGAGTGTCATTCCGGACAGCACTGATTGAAAGGCTTAAGATTATCCAACCAACATCACAACAGGTGATTATTTTGTTTTCAAAATTTAAACGTAGTGGTCAGCAGACCCAAGGTTTTGAATTTTGATAGAAGACGATTTTTTAATTTTATATTTGCATCCAACCCAGGTCTCCAGCTTATATTTTATATATTACTTATTAAGATACATACATGTAACTTTTCCATAAATGATAGCAAGAATTCTACTGATTGCATTAAGGCGTACCTGTACTGGCTAATGTAATGGTCTAAGATATAATACCATGGTTTTTTTTTTGGTTTTTTTTATAGCATTGAAAAAAATTAAAATTTAATCAAAGATCTTTTAAATAGAATTTGTATGCAGCATTACTTTAGATTATATAATAGTATTTAATTGCTCTCCATTTGTAGCTTGATAATTTTATGAGTAAAGAAAAACTTCATCTAACCCCATATGTTAGGTAAGTCACATTAGTTCAGTATTATCTTCAATACAAGTTGGACGAAGAAATTCTGACTAATAGCACATATAATTATGTAACAATGCTATTGCTGTATACATCTAATAGTCTTCTTCACGGTTCCCTGCTCCATCTTGAAAGGTAGCTGTACCTTAACATTAAGGCGAGACAACCATTGAGCGTACAATGATAGATACCTGTGAATCCTTTTCTTTATGTGTGAAACTTTGCTTTGATGCACAGCTACCTTCAAGATGGTGCAGGGAACTGTGAAGAAGAGTATTTAAAAAATTGTATTTCCATTTGTTATTAAAGTTCTTTTACCGTGTCTACATTTTAGGGAAGTGATTTCTGCTTTAATGGCTCGAGGTACAGCAGTCTACTTAGTTTCTGGGGGCTTCCGGTCTATTATTGAACATATTGCTCGCAAATTAAACATTCCCAAGGAGAATATATTTGCAAACAGAATACTTTTTGATGATAAAGGTATTTATGATTGTTTATACCATTCCTATTATCAAAGTGTATAGGGTGAAAAACACTGAATTAAGAGAGCAGCACTGATATAACAATTAGGTTGGCATAGAATGTTAACATTATTACTACTGACACTACAGATATTTCACATACACAAAATCTTTAAGTCTCTCAGTTCTTGTCATATTTTTTTTCTTATAATTGGAGGTTTTATAAAGAAGTTGATTAATTAATTATTTGACAAGTGTTGCTGTAATTGAGAGATCTCATGACTAATTAATTAATAAAAATCAATTTGAGGATTTATAAAGAAATAAGTGATCGTGAAGAAAACTAAAATTAAATGCTTTCACAGTTTCAAACATGGCAGATGATAGTCTAGTAGAAGATATATATTGCAAATAGTAAATGATTCATTTATAACTCTAATAATAAGCACTATCTCTACATGAGCACTGCTCTTGCAGCCTTTTAAAAAGTGTAGTGTTTGAGGATGACATTTTGTGTCACATGGCAGTAAGAAAAGTGCTCAAATGAAATCTTTCTCCTTTCATCAACATGGGTGAATCCAATCAAAGATTTCTAGAATGACCATAGGCTGCCCAACTATTGCTTGAGAGAAAGACAAGAAGGAATGCACACGCTTTTATGTTTTCGGTGCGTGCTCTTATCAAAATGCAGCTTACCTGTGGTATAACATCATGATCCCTTGCCTTGCGGGATCAAAAGCTACTAACTGAACTTTAGTTATTATTTTCGTATCTTGTAGGATTGTATGCAGGCTTTGACGTTGATGAGCCAACATCTGAATCAGGAGGGAAAGCCAAAGTCACTCAAATATTGAAACAAAACCATGATTATCAAAGGTACTACATTATGTTTCTTAATTTTATTCAGGATAAAAGAGGGGAAATTAATGTTTTAATATCATTAGGATTCCATCTCTTGAATCCAAGCATGTTGTTTTCTAAAGGAAATTCTGATTATTTTACTTGTTCAGAATTTTTGAAACGACTGCGTGATTTCTTAACTCATTAATATATTTCAAAAGGGCTTGAACCATCTCTAGAATATTCATCCTTTTTTCATTTCCTTTCCTTTTTTCCCTTTTTTTTCTTTTATTTTGAAGGGGAATTTTTGTAATTATCTGCCCAAATTCATGTTATTTTATTCAAATTGTTATTTTACTCAATTGTTTTATAGACTTGTAATGATTGGAGACGGTGCAACTGACATGGAAGCCTGTCCACCGGCTGTAAGTTACACTAACCCAATAAGATTCTTAATAATATTACTGTATAAACTCTAGCCTTATGGATACCTCAATATTCCGGACACCCCGCTATAACGGACACCTTTAAAAATCGCTTGTACAAAGACATTACTGAAAATAGCTCCCGTTACAGCTCGGATACCTGCTGTCCCGAAAGTCCATTATAATGAGAGCTGACTATTTATACCTTTCAATTCCATTAGCATTATATCCTGTTCCATTCTGATCTTTTAGGCGTCACTCTATTTTAATTTCTTCCACACGCTGTTCCGCTTTATACGCAATATCCCTTTCCGTATGTCATTCTATTCCACTTTAGTATTASCATACTAGTGGACTATTGCAAATCCTTCGTTCTGATTGGCTACGCTACTCGGGGTCTATTTTCAGTAGTCCTCGAKAAACAAAACGCGACAACTTTTAGCGTATTTTTAGCAATAAAAACATTTAGTTATTTATATATTCCATTCATTTTTTGTCCAACTAGTATGGTAATACTAAAAAAATTAGATCTCTCGGCCTCGTGGACTACGATCGAGCTGACAGCTCGATTCGGTCTTCGGCCTCATAGGCTATCAGCTCGTAGTCAACTCGCTCTCGAGATCTAATTGTTAAATATTGCATAACATATCGCTATATTTCACTCTATTCCATTCTTTCAACAGGATGCGTTRATTGGCTTTGGTGGGAATGTGATTCGAGAAAAAGTCCAAAGTAGCGCCAACTGGTTTGTAACGGATTTCAAAACTCTTTTGAACGAGTTGCAAGAGTGAATTTTCCCCTTATTGTATTATACAAAAATTTGAACAAATGTGAATGAATGAATAAATGGGACAAGGGTTTTCATTTGGTGAAAGATATATAATGGAACAATAGAAATATTGAAGTTTAAGCGGAATTCTGCTTATTATGACCTATTATGCCTTTTTCGTGATATTTCGTTTAATTACAACAGGACGAAAGTTCAACATTAAAATCCTGCAAATCGGCGACAACCGCTTTGTATTATTGACTCGAGAACCAGATAATGTCAGTCACGCCTTTTCTCCAGAAAGCCGAACAAAACATGGGAGTAATGCAAATATGCATCTCAGAAACAAAATCTTGCGCAAGAATGACYGAATCTACGAAGGATGTTTCCTATTTTAATGATGTTCACACTCGTTGAAGGATTTGACTCCTTAATCCGTTTCAGTCTTAGTACTTTAATACGTGAGCTCTAATGGCACTACCAAAATGCTTTGCACACTTTCTTTTGTGAAGTAATTAGTGCCACTTCTTAAAAAGGAAATCASTCCTGAAAATAAATATACATTATGACCTGTATTCGGGTAGTTGTGAAATGGTTATATCACGTAAGGACATGGACGTGTCGAGTGAAATGGCCGCGAACTTCGTTTTGAATAAAAATATTTTTTGTGACGGCAGCGTACCAAGGCTTCGTCATTGTATCAAGATGAAAACTAAAGATGTGAAAATAATGATGACAACTTGCGTAGAAATCCTCAGGATAATAATCATGGGATTAATATTGTTTTCTGTACATTGACAACGATTTCGACGCAGGATTCGATGTTAATCTAGCAAATTAACAAGCATGAACAGATATCGTTGATACGTCAGTGCCTCGGTATAATTCCGGTCGACTGTCATCGCTTGCGTTATTCAAAACACCTTATACAATCAGCTTTTAAAAAAAGGTATTATAAGAAAGAACGAACAAAAATAGAACTGCGTAATCAAAGAATTGTGAATCTAAAGGGATTTTCCCCAAAGAGAAGAGGTAGAACTAAACAAATTTTAGAGAAAGAAAGGGGAAGAAAATATAATGGGAAACGCTGAAGAACTAAAGAGCAATTAAAAAAAAACAACGTYAAAGCAAAGTAAACAAAGATTTTTTCCAGATTTTTTCTAATAGTATAATGATAATAGTTTAGCTTCGAAACCTCACCGAAACTAATTCTGGGCATGTCTTGTTTTCTTTACTTGATGAAAAAACGCGTTACAACTAACTACATATTTACCAATTAAAGAGTTTTCATGCCGTACTGATCTGTATCGAAACTGTTTTACAAGAGTCAAAGAGAACTTGTCCAAACAGTACATGTTCGATAATGTCATCTTTGATGTCAGAAGTAGCAGATCAGTCGTTCTTTTTATGCAAATTTCGCGGAGAAGTGTTGCCAATGGTGACAGGAATAACAGATGGCAAGATAGATCCGAGGTGAAATGAAATCGAAAATTCGTGGTTGGAATAAAATAAAAAAAATGAAACCTTGCTACTGGGATTTGTTTCTACCAGCCGATGGCGTGTGGTGATTATTTATGCACGTCGGTAAGACCACCACTCGCTGGGAAATTGGTACTGTAAGGGGAGGGGGGGGCAGAGGGGGAAGGGATTTGATTCGTCATTCGACTCCCCTTCTGACTGTGAATTAACGGCACCATAAAGACAGCGCTTCAGGGAAACAAGCATTCGTTAACTTTTTTGACGGCTATCTTCCTATTTTGAGAATTTGTATATTTCCAAAGGAAAAACCGTACCGTGTGCGTAGTTAATTACACTGCTTTCAAAATATAGTAAACGGGAACTCTAGTCATGAACTGACTGATTTGGTGGTTCTTTCTGTTTCGTTCTGGTTAATTCATCACTGGCTATTATAAATCGCGCTGACCAAGGATAACATCGATATCAGATAGTCATCCTGACAATAACTTGGTTTATCATCAACGAAGAGGAAACGCTTTCATGTCAGAAATGAACAACCGAAAACGAAAGGTATGAAATAGTATTATCTCAGRAAAAAAAGAAATCTATATACTTGAATTTATACTTTATTGTTYGAACCTCGAGGGTGAGTCGATTGAGAATTAAAGTAGAATTCTCTTCCCGTTGAACGCGTCATGACATGCCATAATTTCGTGGGTTTTTAAATCCTCTATTTGATATAAATAGAAATTTTAAKCGACATTCGCAGATACCTCTAACCTCAATTGAACTGGTCTAATGCTCATTTTGACYAAACAACAGCTCGGTTCTATCAATGTTTCATCCTTGGAAAACATTTCTTACTTCACTCYAGCGACTTGAGAATATATTGATTCATTATTTGAAATTTCCAYCAATTCACGCGCTACGTTTTGTCATGGTTCGTTTTATTTTTCTATCCATTTTGTTTTTTAATGTTGACAATGGTATAATGGATTATGGGCTTAGCATTCAAGTTATAATGAACCTGCTCTCAGTAACCTCTCTGTTTTCAAGACTTCTATAGCTTCCTCATYCATAAACCTTTCAACTGAGCAATCGTCAGATCACCTACCGAATAACATTACATTTGATTAGAAGTTAAATCATTTCTCAAACGTAGAACATGAAAACCTAAATCGGTRCATGTCRTTTTGAGTTGTATTTTTTRCGTCAAATTGTTGCATATTGGCTAAACAATTACGGCCATTCTTATGTAAAATGGCATGAAATAAGGCAAATAAAAAATCGCAATTGCGCGGTTTTTTTCGGGGGCTTTAGAGGATCGGCAAGGTTGTTTTCATATAGCGTTAATGCCCTGTAGTTATAACAACTATATGCAGACGAAATATTTATACAAGTTGAAGGYAATTAATAAACGAGAGAGCACTATTTTGGATTGGCAATTTCAGCTGTATTAGATTAAGTTGGCAGACAGAGCAATATTTATTATAGAAAAATAAGATCAGTTGACTACGCGGTAAGACTGCTATCACTAATTCAAATCGCTATCTAACGAACCAAATCAATCAAACCCATTGGTAGACGATGCTAGCCATTATGTCCGTTGCTAGGTGATATAGTTGCTAAGCGATGTASCAAGTAATTATTTTCAAATGCCATCGTACGTACCTGTTTATGGCTGATCTTAGTACGGATGAAGAGCCTGGGAATAGGAGGACTTTCGACAGAGAAATGACAGGAAGGAAGAAAGAAAGAAAAGGAATATTTTGGGGATTTAGCCRCAGGCCTCCTTTTCTTTGTGAACCGACTCTCAGACTTTATTTCTATGTAATTGGGACGTAAATGTATAAAGCTTTGGTTTGCACTAAATCTGAATATAGCTAACCTTGAAAGCAGTTAATGAAAATTTAATTCGAAGGTGCGTCGGCATCTTAAATGGTAGCCGAGCTTTCGCATCAAGTGAGCCACCGGTTGTTTACCGCTATCTTTCAAAATGGCGATAAAAACAGTAAAATGGAGTCTCCCTCGCTGTCGTTATGATTTGTCACGCCAAGGACAGAAAGCTCAGCGTGACATTGATAACGGCTTCTGCGGGGAGACAATTTAAGGGATTACCCACAGTTCCTAACGGTCWCACAATCATTTTGCCATGATTCCTTCACATAAAAGAAGTAGTYTAAATGCATTTCCGACTTTAATCAATGGTTTAAGTTAAGAATCAAACACTGAAAATAACACTGAAATATGCCCCTGGATACAGCTATGTAGAAGTCAATAAAGTGTGCAAAACTACTATTAATTCAATTGACCTTGATGAAATGTAGTCGTGATCCACGTTTGTAAGCCGGTGCTGTAAAATCTGCACTAATCCCGGAAAGCAAAGGGTTTATCAGTTGAAAAGACGAACAATAATGTCATTTGCCTGTATATTTGCTGCAGGAGATAAAGCTGTTCAATCACAATAKCGCTCTGAGCAATATTTAATCTGCAAGATCATCTAAGTTTTTCAATTAAATTCCTTGCTTAGAATTATAAAAAGAGTGCTATACAAATGACGTTTTGCATGGCTAATTTTTGTTTTCAAGGGTAACGTTTTCTATAAGGTGATCTACATGTGCGCAATATCATCTCGTTCCCAGGTTCTTTTTCCTTCGGGATTCCTGTCTTTCACAATCGATTTGCATGAAGGCGCGCGGTTGACAAAGAAACAGATTATTGCGAATAAGACTAGCGGACTCCTTATCATAAAAAAATTTGCCTCGAATGATTTCCCACTTGTTATCACGTCGATTCATTATTGGGCGGTGTGTTTTGTCGCAGTTCGGAAAAATCAGGAAAAAATTGAATGTGCACCGAGAAAAGTGCGAGAAAATGTATAAAACAGATACTGTACTAGAGTACCCACAAGGACTTTTATCTGACCTTGTTTGGTTTTCCCTTGTAGAAAGTTAAAAAAAGGAGCTGATAAGACTGTAAATMTTTCATATGAACTAGCAGATGAGATTCTTGTCTCAATCACAAATGCCTAGAGCTGAATTTCAGGAAATGATATATCTAAATATAGAGACCCCCTTTTGATTTCCGCCGTAAGTGATCTTCGCGAATGTATTTTTGTRCACGTGTGAAAGGAAGGAGTTTTAGCGGCAATTCTTATTTTCCTGTTTTCGTTCCTTCATTTTTCCCCAAAGCGTTCAAAAATTGATTTGTATTGATCAATTCATAACGTGATATCGACTTTAGTTTTATTTTTTAACTTATATTATTATTATTGCTCGTATAGTTGTTGTTTATCTACATTGAAGTGCTTCTCTTCTGATCTGCCGAATCATTTAAGTATGTTTATTTAGTCAAGCAAGAGACGTTGGACTGTATTTCGCTGGCTTAGATAGACTGATAAAAATGATCAAAAACAGTGGCCGACGCTGTGTTACATGAACTAGCTATAGGAGGGAGACATTCGAGTCCGTGGTCAGTTACTTTTACTGCTGTTATTGTTTTGTTGTACTTACCAAAGTAAGTTACCATTCTTGTTTTTATTTTGTTATTTTTGAAATTTTTCACAGTTTTCTTTTAGTGAAAACAGCCAGAGATTTAGTTATTATATATCCTCCCACTTCTCGTTAAATCGATATCCAATCAGATCTTAAATGAGTACTTCTTAAATTTAATTAAATTCCTCCTCTTCACTGTTCTTTGTATTCTACGTCAATGTATTCTTTTTGCTTCTTTTGTTTTATAATTGAAGTTGGACAATAGTCAGTGGCAAAAAAAACATACTGATTCTTATATTATCAACATCAACGAACTTTAGCATCAGCTAACATCCAGTAAGAAGGTAGCATTGCTTCGAATTCGTAAACATTTCTGCTTTATGAGAAATGTTCTTCTTTCAGTGCCTTACTCCAGCGCTCYACCCTCGAGTGACTGAGAGTAGAACCTGTTAATGGCCGGAGAGTCGAGTTCCGGATACCAAACGAGTTAGAATCATTTTTTTWAAATGATTTTCCTCCTTTTAAGTGCCGATCTAACGTTTAGTTTGTCAGAAATATCACAGGCAATGGTTAATGCCCAATTTTAGATTTATTTGAAATTAAGTGTTTGTTTTTMATTTAGCTTCTTTTCCACGCCTTCCTATCAGCTTTCAGCACGTTACTGTCATCGCGATAGGTACATGTACTCCAAATTTTAAAAATTAAATCTTTTAGACTCATTCTCATCATAGAAAAGATTTAAAAGATAGCTAGTTTAGTTCATATTGGACATTCGTTACCTAGCAACTACAGGAATAAACATCCGTTTTCTAAAGCGCCTTTTAACATTCCGGACTTATAGTCATTATATCGAGAACTAAAGCAGAAAAAAACAGCAATTAAGGAGGGAACATACTACTCATTTTACTCAGCACGTAAGTTGTTTTAATATTTTACATATTRTACAACCCTGGCATTATTCATTTTCCCTTTCTTTTTAATGCAAGCTTGTGACAGTTCGAAGTGATTTGAATTTCTCAGTGGCGGAACTCACTAGATTTCCGGGGAAAAAATATCTTTTTTTAAAAAATCTAATGCCACTTTTTTTGTACTTCAACATTGTAACTCGTGGTTTTATGATACGAAAGGATGTGGTATTGTTTYTAAGGATATATAATGGATGTGTTCGTAATGGTATATTCCGAGTATTTCGGCGGTACTTTTGCTAGAGCAGTGTTCCGAAGGAGAAAATTTTGCCGAAAGACTGACCASCATGTCAGAGGTAGGCGAGTTGATTTACTGATATGGGGTCATGATATTTTCATGGATCTGTCAAGATGAGGAGAATGTAGACCTAGTTATGATCTGTACTGCCGAAGCCTTTCTTTTTTTATAATCAAAATAATATTCTTTGCTACTCGAAAATGTAATACATTTTATGCAATCTTTGATCAATTCTCGCACAAATTCGGCTTTTGGGGCATAAACATGATCCCAAGAAAAACAGTACGACCAATACCTTTCCGATGCGTTGAGAATTTAAAAAATCTCGAATCCCGAATTTTCTCCAAGTTGAATCTGTTACTCCTTCTCTACGAACCGAAATGGCAAAAAATCGTCACGAAACGTAAGTTCATTACGTTTGGATTATGAGAAATATTTTACACGTAAWAACGCGGAGAGACGAATGCACAGGTACTCCTCTGATAAAAGCGACACTATGCGTGCCGATCCGCGGCGGCTTCTAAGAAAAACTCGATCTTTTTTCGATCGAATTTATCGACAACATCGTCCCTATACAAATATTATCCATTTTTTGCAATACTTTTTTCAATAGCGCCGACTCCGTTATGATCATTATTACAAACGCTATTTGCCGCACTGCAAGATCATCAGATCATATCAGTCTGAAAGACTCGAAAGCTCTRAAGTAAGACTCCAAATAACCATTTTAATTTGCCAAACTTAATTGTAAAAACACATTAAACACTTCACAGCTATGAAGCAATATCTATATTATATCTATACATATCATTTCAATTCGATGATAAATGGCAAATGGCAATGGTCGATCTGGGGCCAAATGGAATTGTGGTTTCCAAATTTGCAATTGTAACGTCGTATCACACCAATTTTTTTTCTCTAACAGTAATGGTTTCTGACGTTATGCGGTTTTAGATCTCCATATTTAATATTATTATTGAAACATTCAATAGGTTGAAATAGTTCTTATATATCGCCCCCAAATTATGATTTTTGAGTGGTCGTTAATRCTCTTGAAGAAACGCGAAAACGCGTTTTTTGGACTTGCACACYATGTACTTTGAACTGCGAGGAGGTTCTGTAGAGGCTGTTTCTTATTCATTTTCTCAATATACATGGCAGCTTTTAGTGAGCCACAYTTGCCGCAGTCTCTGCTTTTACTTGCACGGAACATGCGCATTAGAAACATGATGTCAGGGTTTTTTTTTCAGGAAAGTCTTCCCAAAAGTGAGTTTAAACATATTCTAGAGTGGATTGATTAGCAGAATTTTCTAGATGGATGACCTTTTKGCGAGTTAACGCTTAATTATTCCCTCTGACTATAAATAGTCATGATCAATGATCATTGTGAAATCATTTATCTTGCAAACGCCCCTTTTAGAATCATGTGTAAASTGTTCCTCTCGTTATTTTCAGATTTWCTTTAAAAAGAACATTTTTCGTTGTCGCGTCAAAATTGAAAATACTCGATGCACGCAGAGCTCATTTTGATGGCTTAAAYCGTTTTTGATTTAAATGAAAAAGCGTTTTCGAGGACCTCTTGAACTTGAACCTTTACAAAGTCTTAAAATGTATGCTAATAATATCTAGGCTTCTCAAGCAATTTATAAAATAAGTTAATAAAGAAAACAAAAGAAAAGAAAAAAAGTTCTATGTGCGTTGTGGGTTAGTTGGATTTCCATCATGTGACCCAGCAAACACCCACATACAAACCAACCGGTGCTTTTGGCATTAGAGCGTAGACAATGGTCATGAATTGCACGTGTTAGTAAACATCTCAGTGCATTAACATAACACAAACGCTCAAAAGATACTGACAAGTTTCCTGAAGTAACTTTAACTGTTTCTTTCTAAATGAAGCCAGGAGAATCAGGTCAGAGAAGCCGGAGGGATACTTCTTGGTATTACAACTTTTCTGAGCCGATTGAGGACACAAAAGCGGTAAGGACTACATTGATTTATATCAACACTGTTGCATCACTAACGAATCCAGCACTTGCACTGCATTCAAAACATTCAAAGAGTCGATTTAGCACACAATACCGGCAAAGAAAACAGTCTTAATGCTTGCACGATATCACCATATGTTGCTAAAAGCTGTATTGTTAAAACTTCTTCATTTAAATAGTGTTTATACTGTGTTAAATGCGCAAATGAGCTGTGAATTGTAGTATCAAAAGTTATTATTGTACTGTAGTGAAGACTTCGAAGAAGAGACTGAAGCGTCTCGACGCAAAGGAATTCTTATTCTAAGCAAATCTTCGCGCTGGTACTGGTTTTAAATCAGACATTTTTATCGTATGATTAATATGTGACCCTAATTCAGCATTTTATGCCCATTATTAGAATCAATTTATTTTTATCATTTATCGGTTTATAAAGATAACGATAATTACGGTTCCATTTACTTTTGTCAGTGATAGATTCTATTTCGTACTTTCCGATTTTTTACAAAACAGCATGTGCAAAACTATGATAAAGATGTTAAACAAATTGAGTAAATATTTCTATTGTCATTAAAAGCTACAAACAGAAACTAAAGAAACATAACAACAACAGCAAAAATAATTCAATTGCTTTCATCCAGAAAACTTAGCAAAAAAAAAAAGACTCTAATCTGAATGTGACCGTGGTTTTCATCATGTACTATTTATGAGACTCACAGTTGATTTATACAGCTCAAACTAATACACCTTGACACTCTTGAAAGGAAACAGTTAGCTGGCATGCAGGTGAACACGTAACCAAGGCCAAGCTCATCTCCGCCAGCCATTTAGGAAGTACTGTCGAGACATCTCGTTCAACGATTTGATTGCGACAATTCCGCAGAAATTAGATCAAAATTGCCTGATAACGTTTGCTAGAAGCAGAGAGACTAAACATTCGTTTTCATTGGTTTGATTTCCGCTGTTTCCTCGATCGTAATGACTGTATATTCTATATGCCCTTTGCGCGACCCTTTGCGGTAACTCTACGGCGCTTCGTTTCCAGACGTTTAATGACATTTTAGGCAATGTGCACGTTATAATCTTTTTTCAGTCGACTCGACAAAGAGAATGTTTTCAAACAGGTCTAGGTCGAAAACTTTGTGTAGAAAATATCTTGAAGGTCTTAACCTCATTTTTAGTTGACCTCTAGTTATTATTGAGTATGCAGCCGACCCCGTCAATTCCGAAGATGTCCAATAACCTCTGAGTATATACTGTTGGGTTAATTGAATGTTTATTATATTTGCAATATTCAGATTTTTACATCCGCCTTCGAGTTCCATCAAACAGGATTGACGGATGCGGACATTTGTCCGGTCAGTGGGGCACTTTCCCATTCAATTTGACGGGGAAAGGGGGGGGGGGGGGGGGGGTATCACAGTCAAATGCCCGGGAAGGAGGGAGGGATGAGCACTTTTGGAATCGAGTGGTACATCAATATTGTTGTTGTAGGATACAAGAATCAATATCTTGGATATCTACATTAATGGAAAGGAAAATAATACATTAGCGTTTGAAGACAGTTCACCGCTCTTCAGCAGACGAAGGGACCGTTGCTGTTTTTGCTGTTTTTGCTGTCCGTTTGAGTGGTAAGTATCGAAAATAACTTTTTACTTGATAAAACATGATCGATGAATTGAATTGATTCTTGAATTGGAAAGGTCTTTATCATGTCTTTATAGTCCTCTCGCTCAGTTGAGGATGCACTTTAGCGACAGGAACTTAACAATCAGGCGGTTGAAGCGGAATCCAGAATAACAACACCGACATAAATTAACGTCATAAGAAAAATTATGAAATCTTTTCAGAACATATATTAGACGCATGATGAATAAAGAAAAAACCTCGGATTGTCAGACCGCTATGTCATCTATATCGATCATGTGCGGAACTTCCCTATAAGGCTTTACACAGGGTTCCCATAAGCTAACTACTTTGATCCGCCCTTTCTCAAGTACAGGCACTCCATTAATGCTAAATCATTCTTTCATTGTTTACCCAGAGTAAGTCAGATTAAGTATATCCCATTCAGTCATTTGACTGGCATGTGTTTCCATTTACCCCACCCTCCCGACCTCCTAGGGATGAGTAGTTGGCACTCAGTCACGTGATCTAAGATAAATGCTTCATTCGAAGTCTATAGTCGTCTGAAACTGAAACAAAACATCTATAAAACAATCTTTCAGGTTTTAAACATCCTACAAAGCGTCGAACTTTATTTAAAATGATATTTCCATATATCCAAAAATGCTGGAGTACTCAGTATAAAATAATAAGTTTCTACAAAAAGGGGGGAGGGGTGTCCATAGGTGCAGCTCCGTTATAGTTAGGAACTACATTTAATTAAAAGTCAAATATTTACACTTGACTGCATTGCTTGATAATCTGACGGAATACGAGCAGCAAAATCGTCCAACTTGTGTCACAACAATGCAAGTGGCAAAGCGATGCTGCGATGCTGCGATGCTGCGATGCTGCGATGCTGCGATGCTGCGTGTACTTACTACTACCACAAACCAACTTGTCTCACAGCAAAATGATTTGTTGCAGGTTGAAAACCGACTGAGACGTTCTACTTTTTGCATCAAAATCCTTCGATGTTGCGCATAACACAACTTGTCTCGCAGCAAAGTGACGTCGCGCATAATCAGCTGACTGCATTGACCGATCAGAAATAAGGATTTGCTCAACCTACAACAAATTATTTTGATGCGAGACAGTTTGGTTCGCCGCTAGTAAAACGTGCAACATCGCTTTTGCCACTTGTTTTTCAGCAAGTTGCGAGACAATTTGGACGATTTCGCTTCTCGTATTACCGTTCCTTTAATAACTTTTCAAGAAGCTAGGCTGCTTAGCGGCCCTGGAGAATTGGTCGAGTGCTCTTGACCAATCAGATATTTAGGAGCATAACAATGAGTGCTCTCGACAAATCAAAATGTAAAATCTATGATAGATATGGTAAACGTGCTCGTACAGAATTACTACAACGAGGGACCCACTGTTGGCTGTATCCGTGTAGCCTAGGTACTAGATATCGACCCAGACCCACCTCGAAAATCAAAAGATTTTTTCACCACACATTTTAATTCTACTGACAAAGGTTGGAGAAGAGACTGATGYACGACATACAGCAGAAACGCTTTTTCTTCTTTGTTCTTTCTTCCCATAGTTCTTTTCAGTCTTTTTGGGGAAACTAATGGAATATCTGTTGTTCCTCCCCATGAGCCTGTCGTCTTTTGTGTGTGGTTATAAGCAACCAAAATACCGCAAAGTAAGCTATCATTGTAAATAAACTAAGCTCCATTGTCCATAGCTAAGAAATATTAAATGAATTGAAATACGAGCTCTATACAAAAGCAGTAGAAACGTTCTTAATTGACACTTTCTGAGAACAAATACTTTGTCTTTTAAGATATTTTTACGAGGGATTTCAATCTATTATGGCACTGTATTTGATTTAAAATAAGGAAAATAAGCAAAACCTTTAGTAATTTCAAACACTGAATAACTTCACCGAAGTGCCAACTGGGTCCCAACAGTCTAATCAACATGTACTAATTCATGTTTGGTTGAAAAACATATCGCTCGAAAACACTATACAATTTCAACAGACTAAAACGCTCAGATCTGAATGCTCTCTCTAAAGCTATGGTATGCTGGGAAATCGTTTGAAGGCAAACCGAGCAGGGAACAGTTTAACCAGTGAGCATGCGCATCACATTACAGTAAGTCACAATGAATGGATTCGAGTTTTTAAGTGGATTGATAGAGTGATTGCTTAAAAACGCTTGCGAAAACGCTTATGCAGACCCTCTGTTTCCTTGCCAACATATATTTCATTGGCTAATCTGTCGTTGGATCTTCTCTTGTTAATGTTATTTCAAAAACCCATCAAAGGGAATCATGAAAATCGCTTTTACATGTTTAAACCATATTACTATTGTACAACTTTACCGTAATTATATTACAGTTGTAAAGGACTTAACCGTTCGTTTAGACACCGCATTTTTTCCCATATGCTAAATGTAGCAACGTTTAAAGTTATGTACGTGCAAATTCATTTCTTCTTCTTCTTTTTTAATTCTATTCATGAGTATTTCAACACCGAAAGTACTTGCCATGTGCGCTATTTTCTGAATAAGACTATTTTTTACACATGTTAAAAAAATCGTTTGAAATCAGTCAGTCCAGCTTAAGGTTACACTCTTAAGAAATCTCCTCGGTGGCGGTAAATCCCCTGTTAAAATATATAATGACAAACTAAGTAGAGAGAATGTTTTATCTAGAATGCACGCAATCTAGTTTTATTCCTAACAACACAGAATAGCGACTTTCTCGCAAAGAGTAATGACTGCTTACATCAGTTTCGCGAAAACTGAATTGTATGAAAATACTGAAATTCAGCAGCCTTAGACCACCTTTTGCCAGCGATTAAAAATTCATTTCATTTGTACTTCGGCCTTGAATCTTAAAATAATTACTCTCTCGCTGCATTTTAAATAGAAATTATTGGGCAGACATGATGTGGAGATTAGATCAGTTCCGCCCGGCTTTGAATGAGCTAAGCGGAGAATGAAGGGTAAAGTTTTTGGGTGGTACGCATGTTTCAGTATATGATTTTTAGACAGCTTCCGTATGAAACCTTATAATCAGTTAATTAGTGCGCTAAATACATTTTTTTTTTACTCAGATTTTCACTTCGTAATACCTCATGTGGTAGCGGCGTTTATTTTGTTTGGGACTTCATTTCAGACTCATTTTGACATCTAATTTGAGGGAAGCTAGAATATATGGGCCTTTCGTCGTAGGGAGCCTTGATGTCCCTTTGCGAATTTAAATAAACACATTTTTTCTCTTCCTTCAAACATCTGGATGCCATGTAATCACTTCGTAAATAAAGACTAACTTCATATACAGCGAGCTTTGGTTTTTGTGACTCGGACCGAGCCTAAGTTCTTTTTTTTTGCGATGATTTGACTTCAAAGTAAAGGTGCTAGCACAGATACTTCACTGAAAGTGACGTCACATGGCAAAATCCAAATAAGGAGCAGCATATTGATGTAGTTTGAATAAGGTCTTGTTTCGTCCAGTATTTGGGCTAGTTCTTTGTATGAAAAGAGTTACTGAAGGGCATCTCCACAGCCACTCCCCAGCTTTCGACAGCCATCAATATATCAAAGGTAGATTTTGTCATTTCCGGCACGAATGATATCTCAACCTTCCCCCCAATCTTAATTCACTCAAACGATTTGTTTACTTTTCAAGCTTTTTGCTGCCCTCTCGCTAGAGTCGCTAGACTCGAATAGGAGTGCAAATTGCTGCTAAGTATTTGAATTCATAGAAGAACGCGTATTTGTATAGAGAGCCCTCACAGAGACATCAGTAGGTGGCATACGATATAAAATGCTCAACCAAGTGATTTGGTTTTTAAATGAATGGATGTTGTTTTCTTTCTTTCAGTCCTGGAAGCAGAGGACGAGTAGCAAATATGGATCAAGCGAGTCGCTACAATCCAAGGTTTGTATACGAAATGTTAAAAGTGTTATCTTTATTTTTGAATATCTTAAAGACAGATTAGAAACACTCAACGCTGTATTCGCTTACTATAGCTTCTGATCTTTGCCTAGTACTAATTAAAAGAGAGGAAAAAAAAAAACAGAAAATAAGGGTTCGATTAACTCATAGAAAAACCATGCAGTATTCAAAACAATACTGATGAACATGAACTAAAATACACTGTTTTCATCTATTTGGGCTTGCATTTTTTATTTAAGGACTAATTGTTTCCTGATCATTAAAATCGTTGATGTAACACGGCTAAACGCAAAAGATTCGTACGTTTGACGCGGCTAGATGGAATCGTACCTTTTCAAAAAGAATCATTTTCACCTAACTGTTTTTTGGGACGGCTTTATTGCAAYTGTTTAGGGTTTCCTTACAACAACTCAGCTCCTGGTCGACGAGGCACATAAACAATACTACGGCAGGTGTTAGAAGATTTTACTTAGTTTATGGGRCAAAAGATACTTTGATTTACATTATCATTCTCACGTTTAAGCCAACAAATTAAATCCCAAGTGATTCACTCAATTCCAACCGCATGTTTCATGTCATTTTCTTTACTGCCGGGTCACAATGACGGACCCAAAGTGAGCTTAGAATTCGTTTTAATTCATTCGTCCAGCTGCATATAAAACTATATGTCTTTATTTAAAATTACAGAGAATCTAAGGTACATCATAACTTCGACTTTAAAAATAATCAATATGAATAAACTGGAAGTACATCAAGTACGTTATTCCTCTCTATTCGTGTACGATATTCTTCAAACGTTCGCGTCAATCGATAACAAGAATTTTTTATAGCAATCAAATATTTATTTAAGGAAATGAACGCGCTTTGGATTTCGCTCTTACAGTTGTTAATCCTTCTATGCAGAAAGGAATAATCCACTTCAAATGTAACCGGMGAATAATGAATGATATATGAATTGATTGATTGATTGTGATAATGATGAAAATGATTGATGATATGACAAATGAAATGTTTGATAAACTCGACCATAATAATAACAATAATGCTAACTAAATAATGTCTACTTATCAGTATTGGTGAAATAATTATCATCGTCAGACAGCAAACTACTTCCCAACTTCATTCCATCGACTATCGATTGCTAAATTCTCAAAAAAAATCTAAAACAAACAGACAAAATTAACCGATTTTATGTTAGTTCCGACAAGCKAAAGTAATTGCTCATCCCGGGATTACAAGTTCACAAAGCCATCACATCATTTAAGCCTTTAGAAAGATTCTACAATAGTGCCACAGATGTTTACTCTAGATAGCTTTTCTATTTCGCGATTAATTGGCGTTTTCTTGGTAACCCTTTTTTCAGTTGACTTCCTCTATACGACAATATGTCACTGATGTCCAATGTTCCGATGGAACAATTAGGATTTGTAAATTATTGTTTGTCTTACCGGGAAATAGCTTTC